AAAAAAAAAAAGATACAATGGTGATTGATTAAAACAAGTGTGAAGAGGGTGATAATGATTTTGGGGTTTTACTTTTTTTGTGTGTTTCAATTGTTGGGTATGTTTTTAAACAATGCATTGAACAAGTAGAAAGAGTGGGATGGAATTGGCAAATGGCTTTATTCTCCACAGATCCATACCCCACCTCAGAAATCACTGCCCCTTCAAAGTAAGCCCCTTGAAGTTCCTGCTTTCTTTGTCTTTGGAGGAAATTTTGGCAAGTGCTGTACCATTTTGGTGATGCTATTTACTGTTATTAGAAAGCATCACTGACTAGCTCACTTCTATCAAAAAGTTAAAAGTCTGATTTAATAATTATGTCCAGTCCAGAGTAATGACCATGATTTCTATTCAATTTAAGTTAAAACTGTTTTCAAACTCATCTTGAACCTGCATCAAACTGGTCGCCTATGGTGAGAGATGGGGATGGGGTGAGTTTTCCCTAATTTGCTAGCTACTTCTCTTCTCCAGCTGTAGACATTAATGTGCCTCTGGCAGTTCTATGGTTGAAGTGGAATACCTAGGAGAGGCCAAAAAGCACAAAAAGGCCTTCATAACTAGTCCTGGTGTTGGTGGTCTCTGACTTCTAGGATTTTAAACGGACTCTGTTTCCAGGGTGGTGGTGGGGATCTTTTGTATGTATTACCTGCCCCCTCCCAAGCTGTGCGTCCATTTCTCCATGTCTCTCTGATGTCTTTCTTCTCTTTGGCCTGTGTAGTTACCTTCGCATCTTCTTTCTGCTACAGTTTCTCCCTACTCCCACTTAGGAAGACCTAAGTGAATTACACACCAGCTCTGGTTTTTAATCTTTCATATTATATATGTTCACCTGTAAGTAAAACATAAGTGCATCTTTTTACTTCACATACCCAGAGGGGCAGGCCATATGCAAAGAGGCAACTTCTCATTATACGGCATTTGGTAGACTGGCCCACTGTCTGCCTTAGATTTCTTGGTTTTGATTAGTCTCTAAAGTACCACTGAATCGAAGTGGTTGCACTGAATTATCCTTTCCTGGACTTGTATGAAATGGTGACATAGGTAGGATAGCTCTTTCTAAGCTGATTTCCTGGTTCCCAACTTCCCTCTTCCCAGTTTTGAAACATTTCTTATTGGCATTAAGCTAAGAGTACCAAAACTGGTTCTTGGCTTCCTCTTCTGGATATGGGAATGGTTGGATTCTCTTATCTTCAGGCCTTAGCTAAAACTAAGACTCCATTTAGAGCAGATACTTTTATGCCTTGTCTATACAATTCACCAAAGATTTTTCATTTGTTTGTTTGTTTTGTTTGTTTTTACAGAGGTAAAGGGGGGAAAAAGGCATACAGAAATATGGTTAACCTAAGGTACCTTAGGCCAGAACTTTATCCAAAATGTGTAGCTACTCACCCAATGACTCCTTAGACCAGGGCAATAGCACTAAATGAGCTGCCAAATGGGAGAAGGCAGAAGAGATTCTAAAGTACCCCCCCCTCCAAATAAGTCCCTTTTAAGCTTGAAGAGGCCCCCAGAGTTTTTACCAATCCAGTCACATGGAAAAAGAAAGCCAAGGGATGATGCACCCTTGCACACTGCAACATTCAACTCAACAAAGTGACTCCACCCGGGAGAGTCATAGTCAATAAAATGTGTTAAACTGAACAGTGCTCCTTGGTGGAGACAACATCCTTATTTATCTTTAGAAAAGAAGAAAATAGGCAGATAGGGAAAGGAGGAGCCCTGAGGGCCCCTGGAGGCCAACTATGCTTTTGATATTTAATGGGACTTAAAATATTAACTTCCTTTGTAAATGTCTAGAACAGAATTAATTAGAATAGCCTAGAAATATTAAGAGATTCATAACTAAATGGTAATTCATATTAGGATAGTATTATGATATATTATCTGAAAATTCTGTAGTCGCATTTTGTAATTAACTTTGAGGAATTTGTGAAGTGAGGTATAGAATAATTGAAGCACTAATCTTTAATAGTAATAATCTTGCTATTTAGATCTAAACTGTATTTTTTGTCTTCAGTGGGATTTTCTGTCTGTGGTGTGATAATTCTTGAAGAGCTAAGATTTTGTAGTAACCATGCTATCTTCATATAAATCATGAATGTAGGTATTATCTGTAGTTATTAACTATCAAATCTGTATGGATACCTTTTTTTCCCAAATATTAAGCTTCTCAACAAAAATAAATCTTTAAAGATTAGTAGTAAAAAGTAACTTTTTTCATTATATATTTT